ATCAGTATACTTACATAATATAACATTTTAACATCTAGTATCATTTTCGCTTGAAAGGTTTAATGAAAGTTTACTTGATTCATAGGGAGATTTAGTCATAAATTGACATTAGTTGGGGTTAAATAAAAAAGAATCAGGGAAAATTAAATGGTTGTTACTATATAGCATGGAACTACTCAGCAGTGTACACCAACAATTCACTCAAGAACTGAACCCGAAATCTTCAGGTTGTAGTCATTTTACGAAATGATGAGCCATTGAATTGCAACTCAGTAGTTTAAAAGTTAACTTCTTGTTGCAAAACCTGGAGGTCTTTGGTACAATGCCTAGCAAAGTTGTAGGTTTACACTCCCGACAAGTCCCATAAATACTCAGTAGTTTTCATGTATTTGCCAACTGAAGGTAGATAGTGATATTGATATTCAAAACAAGAACTAAGCCAAGCAATTAGACCTTACTTTGTTGACGATGAAGTGACCCACAAAGTTAATATCATTTAATCTTTTTGATATTGAATCGCGTTATTTCCCTGTTAATATGTAATATATACATAAAGACTAATGATAGAAAAAATCTGTTCCTGTCTAATTGTCATCTTTGATACTAGTTCATTCGGAGAATTACATTATTAATCCGGACTACAGTGAGATATTATTCAGTTATTATTGTTATTATTTTAACACATAGATATTGGTACAATGAGGCACCAAATACATATGCACCACACAAATCTCATTCGATATGTGTGAGGGCTGTGATACTGCCTGGGTGCCCAAACCGAAGCAGATGGTTTGCTTAGGGGGCCACTCCCCGAACCTTCGACCTGCAGGTCTGATCCACAAGGCAGTGGAGCATCGTGAGGAGATGCAGTCTCATTGAAGCCGGTGACCAACAGTTGGTTCATACACCATTTGTTCCTTCAGGATACTGGAGCCCATGTGCACCATTGGTTTGTAATCAGGGTTTTCCGACTCCCCTAGGTAGATCCTCCGTATCCACCAACCCGGTTAAAGTGCCGAACATTCACTCTTTGTCCTATCAATTTTGTAAACAACACTCCCGTCATGAGAGAGCAGTGAGTAGGACTTCCCTGTCAGTGATTGTATGCACGCGGCCACTTGAGAGCATTTCAAGAGGGAGAGCTGACTCTTCCCACTTTCGACCGTACCAGGATATTTAGGGTCTACGCTTGTTAGAGAGTATAGCCTCCTATTGTATTAGTTTATCATTTAATCACTTATGAGGTGTTATATTCAGAAATACGATGTATTTGCATGGTTCTACGCCTAATTATATATGTATATATATATATACATATAACTGAAATGATTTCAATCGAGTTAATCATAACATGTTTTGTTTTAAAAAACAACATTTCTTTTCTTATTTTTAGCATGAATTAAGGTTATCAAACAATAATAACTTGTCCAAACAAGTAAATGATAATTACTATGAACCTTCTATTCTATTCTATTATCACTTTAATTAAAATGTATAAGTAATAGATGATAAATGAATAATTAGACTAATTTAAGTTGGTTATTATTATTATCATAATAAAAAGTTTCAGGTCGATGAATGAAGTAGCTCTGTAATACAGTTGACTCACTGGTTTAACTAATATTTCATATCATGGTTATTCAGCTTCATTGTGTAAAAAAATAAACGGTCAAATTAACATTTCAGAAATGTATATTTTGATAGTCATCAAAAAAATTGACCAGTTTTACATTTGATTTTTTAATTGATCATTAATTGTGTATCATAACTTCGAGTGATTTATACATTTTTAAAAAAAAAAAAACCAGTCAGTCAGCTACAACGTAGGACCAGGAACATATATATGCATCGGTGCAAGTTGCCATACCGCATTTGCACAGCAACATGGACACCAAATTCATAGGAGTAGTTAAGTCAATAGTGATAATATACAAAAGAAAGATTGCAACAAGGAAATAGTACAGGTATAAAAAATTAGTTTTTAGAAAGATATGAAGCGATTTTAATCTCACAGTTTAAAGGAAGACAGAGAGTGTATACACCTACACCAGTGTGATCGATTCTGAGCCATGTCACCAAGAGTCTCCAACCATTGGTCACGATAGTCACGCGGACCCTAACCAAGTAGTCTGCATCTACCAATATGGCTCAGACAAGAAGTTAGTGACTTCAAGCACTGATAACACGTTTTATTTTCGCCTTTCCTGACTTTTTCCCAACCATTCCCAACACTATTCAGCATTGCACGTCGTGGTAATCGGTGTTCAGGTATACGTAACACGTGCCCCAACCATCTCAGTCAATAAAGATTCACAACCTCATCAACTGATTTACCATCATTCCTTAATACCCTGCGTCTAACCTCACTATTACTTACCCCTCGGTGATCGCAGCAGATGCGAGCAATATTTCTAAGGCATCTGTGGTCAAATACTAGTAGCTTACGAGTATCTTCGATTCTTAATGGCCACGTTTCGTAGCCATAAAGTAGAACACAATGAGCTACCGCTCAGTATACTCATCCATTAATTGATAGACGGATATCTCACCTTCGCTATAGGTGACGTAAGTTGGCAAAAGCCAAACGAGCTTTCCGAATCCGTGCTGAGGTTTCGCCAGAAATCAAAATTGATAATGAGCACTTACGGAAGAATAAACGGGTATTGATCACAGTTTAGAGGCATTTTTACACATATATTTTTTGAATGGATAGAAAATGAGGATTGGCTGCAATATTGCATACTTTGGGTTGAGAATTCTTTACTGTTAATAAAAATATGGTACTGAGTAAAGTTACAACTATTATCATTAAACTTAGTCATACTGTGGTGTGTGTTGCTTATGTTGACAAATATAAGTAGTACATAGCACCAGTGGTAAGTGTTATGCATGCCAGTAAAAGATTCAATTAAAGAAGACAGAAAGTAATTGTAATAACAACAGAATTGAAAGAATCATGAGTCTTGTAAAGCACAAATGATGGAAGATGTACGAATTATGTATTTATTGGATGGTTTTCATATTTTACGAAAGCACTTCAATTTTGTATTATACAATGAATTGGTTTTCCCCCACCTGAGTTCTTCGTTCACTACAATACTAGCAACGGTTGTTATCCTTGAAAACTTCTTTTAAGACATTCAGACCCCTATGTGATTTCCCAGTTTCCTTTACTTCAATTAGAGTAATAAAACTTAGTCGACAAAGTATTCATGGGTATGAAACATTGACAACTTCGATTGACTTGATCTGTAAGTTTCTTCCCAATGTTTTAGCTGCTTGCTTTGAATGACTATCGAGGTGCCGTTTTCTTTGGTGGTAATCTTGAATAGTAAATTGCCTGAATGTCAACAGTATCATTCCGACTACTGTTACATGTCATCGAAGAAACAGCATTTTCATATTGTGGCAAGCTATTTATTCTTGTACAACATGGAAGCATAACTAAACAAGTATACAAACTGATCTCCAATGTTATGTTTATTTAGTCCTCAGTGCTGATCGAATTTCTAGGTTTCAATGACAAGGGAAGCGGAAGTTCTCTTAAGATTAAGGGTATACTATGAAGAGAGATAACCCTATCAACACATTCGAGTTACAATCAAGTTTATCTACATAATTGCATCTTTAGATATCTTAAACTACACGGTTAATAGGCAAATATACTTAGAAGTTTGTAGTTAGGGTTGCATCAATACACAAATACAACAAAGCACATTTATATGCAACTGCAAGTCGTACCAAATCCAAATCTCGTTCAGTGAAGCAAAAATAGAACTAATGACTATATAGTCGACAATATAACAATTACTCTCAATCATTATAAACAGGACACTCGAATCAATACACATTGCTTTAAAATAGTTGACAACTTTGTTCTATTTCTAATTGTCAATCGATTATGTAAACAAGGTGATAGGTAGCAAAGAATCGATTACGACCAATTAGCCATAGTTAAAAAAGGTGGAAGAAATTCAGGGATATTGACATATTAAAACTTTCATAAGTAAACTTCAAATTCTATCTGTTTGACGATTTGCTTTGTTATTAAATGCACTCATTCGAACACTGAACAACCTTGTCACTCCAGTTTTTGACATATTCAGGGTAAACTATTTTCAATACTCACGTTACCACTGCGCTTGATTGATATTTTCCAAGTTTACGCAATACGTAGTCCATCTACTGAGTTCACCTTTATGGACTCCATTTCGATGCATACGTTTTTGAAGAATAAACATCCTACTGGACTGCTAAGACCGATTTAGTTTTGATTGGACTCAGATCTGTGACCTGATGATTGGAAATCTACTTTTAACCACTGTCAAACATTACTCAACTGTACGATTTCGAGGGAATTGAAGTAACCCTACGAAATCTAAGCCAAAATCATCTATTTATTGTCGAAGGTGGAGACACTACCAATGAACTATTCAGGATCATATAATTAATATAATAATAAGCAGTAAAATGAATCCTCTCACATGGCCACGCGTATATAGCCTCTGCCAGGGAAGTCCTACTCATTGCCTTCTCGTGGTGGGGGTGTTGTTTACGAAAATGAGAGGACGAAAAGCGAATGTCCGGCGCTTTAACCGGGCTGGGAGTCGGGAAACCCTGACTACAAACCAATGGTGCACATGGGCTCCAGTATCCTGCGGGAACAAATGGTGTATGAACCAGTTGTTGATCACCGGCTTCCATGGGACTGCATCTCCTCACGATGCTCCACTGCCTTGTGGGTCAGACCTTTAGGTCAAAGGCTCGGGGAGTGGCCCCCTAAGCAAACCACCTGCTTCGGTTTGGGCACCCAGGCAGTATCACAGCCCTCACACATATCGAATGAGATTTGTGTGGTGCATATGTATTTGGTGCCTCATTGTACCAATATCTAGGTGTTAAAACAAATAAATAAAATAAATTCAATACACAAATATTTAAGTGTAAACATCATTTCCGCTAACTTCATATAGCTGTTAATAAGAGGGAAAATACAAAAGGAAAGCAATGAAAAATGTTTCTCTTCTTTTTTCATGAAAACAATCATAGTTCATTTGAATCACACAGAAAAATATGAAAAACAAAATAGAATACTTAAATTACCTAAATTTGTTGAATAAAAAACAAAATGGAAATTACATTCCTTAATGAACAGATTGGTTTCTGAGGAAAAAAAAGAAGAAGTTTCATTTCATATACGAAGCAGAAAGATGAAGAAATTTTCTAATAACAAGCAATAACCTGTAATTCCATCATCATCATCATGATTAGGTGGGGTGGGGAAAAGTTAGAAGAGGAAAAAACAACAAGTGATTTCCAGATATAAATATGTTTTATACAAATTAACCGTTGTCAACAATTATGTGTGTGTATATTGGACGAATACAATTATGTCACAAAATCGTTTCAGATTAAATCCATTACATAATATTTCAGTAGAAATAAACTTTGTCAAGAAATAAGAAACATTATATATATACCCAAAGCCACCTTTAGTTAAAAGGCAGCAAAATATTTCTATTTTTAGTGGTGGTGGGGAGTTTAAAAAAAAATCAGAATAGAGATTACAAAAAAATAAACAAAATTAAGGACGAGAAAGGCTACATAAAGAAAGACATGTAGTGCAAGACACTTCCTCCTTGAAGAAAGACAAGTTGGAAATTTTATTCTAGGTTTTGTTCTAGGAAATATGGAAGGTTAGACTTTACTATTGTTATTAACAATTATTTTGCAATCTTAGTAAATCATGAAGATGACGATGTAGTTGGTGGCACTGTGTACAGATTGACAGCTGGAGCTGGATATGGTTGTTTAGTCACAAGAGTTTCTGCAATATTACTATCATTGTTCATAGGCATTTCAAAATTTGACTCGTCATAAGCCTATAAAAAATTATTATTATCATTACTGGTGGTAGGAGATGAAATAAAATGAAATAAGTACTTACTTCACCTCAATAACTAATCATTCTTGCAGATAAGCGATAGTAAATCTAAGGTGATCTGACGGTTATGGAACTCTACATCTTGTAATTAGGTCGTGAGCTTAAACCAGCAACATCAGCTTTGTTTTGTTCGGCTGGGGGATATTTGAAAGTCGTGTATTTAAACTTGTGCTTAATAAATTAGATAGATTATACTTATAGCAGTGTTAAGGTGATAATCAGATTATTCTGATCTTGTGATCTAGATAAACATCCGAATACTATGTGTATGTGAACTGACGACAGAAATAACTCCAAGCATTATATATATATATATATATATATATATATATATATATATATATATATATATATCACAGTTCCCACTTTTATACTTTACATCAGACCACATGGAAGAAATAAACAAAGTGGAAATCAGAACATTACAAAAAATAAAAGCAACAATTTAGTAAAACTTTGAGTTTCTAACAACTGTACAACTATGATTCGAAGACCACAAACAGGAATCAAGCATATTATACGGCTTAAATTAGTAGCTATTAAATTTATAGACTGGTTTCTCACCATAGTTTGACTTCGCCCAGGTGTTTTTCTAACCTACCTCGACACTATCTACTGTTTACGTCGTAGTGGGTGGTAACTAGAAATGAGTAACTGTCTCAGTCACCTCAAAATCATGAAGTTTCACAAGTATATATATATATATATATATATATATATATATATATATATATATATATATATATAGTACTATATACCAAAAAATCGCCTTTTCCAACCAGCTAGACACACACTATGCGAACAATGCTTCCAAGACATTTATGAACAACGGCTGGAGTTAAAGTATGTCCCAGGAGTAGCAATTCTAGTGGTTCTCTTCAGTGGACAATGGTAAAATGATTTAGCTTTTAACGTTGACTTGGTGACAGTAATCGTCAGCTTAAGCAATCTCTTTCTGTCTCCACATATACAGATATATATATCCCGTTATTTACAGTTTCATGATCAATGAATCGAAAATCCCATGTAATAAAAATTGGATAAATCTACAGGTTAAAACTCGAAAGTTAAAGTGATTTCTAAATTTTCCTGTTGGTTAGAAGAACAGTGAACTTACAAAGAGCGTTTACTATAACAAATATACACTCAATAAACACTACAGCTGACACTGAACTTAGAAAACAAATAAGATACCATCTTTTGGCATTTACTGGTCTAACTTCTGTCATGCATTTATCTCATTGAATAAGGACAACTCATTTACCAGGTGCAAATTCATAAGCTTAGTTTTGAGTTCCACTATAATTATGAGGGATAATGCTGCTATCCAGCTGCCCAGAGAGATATGGATGGAGTGGGGTTCGGACCCAGAACTTATTGGATGAACGTCGAACACCTTTAACACTGTATCACTGCTTAATGTCGTTGCACCGTATGTATGAAACTGAACAGCTCTAATCAAACTGTTCTGGAACAGTTAATGTATTATCAACTCATAGAAACCCATGATGGTCAATGTCCAAGAGCACTTACTCAAATCCAACGCTAATATCGACAACAGTTTGGTCATATCCTGCTCAACCTTCTTTCTTTTATCTTTTACTTTAAATACAACATTATTTACTATTTATTTATTTCAACACATAAATATCGGTACAAGAGGGCACCAAATATTTATGCGCCACACCATATTTGTGTGTGTGGGCTGTGATACTGCCCGGGTGCCCAAACCGAAGCAGGAAATACAACTTTACTCGGGTACTTCTCAGCATTGTTGCATATACTACAATAAGCATATTGTAGAAATGCAGGACAGGATAGTCAGGTTCGGGTAGCCTGGGATATGAAATTATTATGTGTGACTTCTTAGTCGACCTAAGTTAAGCCGTCACACAGTCATTCGACTTAATCCAATTTTTGGCTTGGGCTAATGAGTAATTTATACATAAAAGTCATAATTACCATTATTAACAGACTCTTTACATACTCTAAACTTGGTATTTTTTAATACCAATTTTGGTAGATAAACAGACTGAGGTAGTAGGTTTCATGTTTGCAAAAATAATGGGCAACGGGGATCCACACTTGTATTTAAAGAATCATACTCCAGTATGTTAATATAAATCTAACTATCCAAAACATTTGAACGTAAGAAAAGCTACTCAGAGATAGCCCATCTATTTATCTAACTTTTTGCTTTGTTGTTCTCAAACGACCGTTGCATCCCAATATATAACTTTTTCCACGAGGTGTATATAAATTTTAAAATATTAAAACCACATTGAAAGAGTAAGACTTAAATCTCACCACTAATAAAACCATTCAGAAGCATAATGAAAGCATTTATACGGATTTACGAAATAATTAGAACGTACTTCATTCATTTCATCGGGAACAGGGGGAGTTTTTGGATAATATTTACCACAACAGCAACAACAACAGAAGAAGCAACAACAACATGTCCACAAGAAACAGGTACAAGCAAGGCACTGTAAACAGAAAAAAGTCGAAAGTTATGCAGAAACTGATTAAACTCAGAATGGAAACGATAATAATAATAATAATAATAATAATAATAATAATAATAATACAATCTTTATTTTTAAGTTATTATTCACTAAAATCCATCGAAAGACTTTTATTTGTGAAGGACCCACAAACAAAGTAGGGCACAGAACAAATTTGTATTTGTACAAGGAACTATACTTCAAAAAGCACCCCTAAAGTTAGACAATATTACGGACAATTATAAAACAGAACTAACTTTTTCATAATGGTCAACAATTACATTGATCGATGCTATACTAGTCCGTTTTCTAAGAGATTTTTTTTGTTCAGATTCTATTACAGCAATAATTATGCTTGAACAGAGAAAATTAACATGTATAATAGGTCTCGGCACTCGTAAATGACGACTTTTCAGTCAGTAATTTATAATAAGTCCAGGATCTGGTACATGTGTGTCAGCCTAAGTTGCCACAACAAAACGTTGAAGTTAATATGAATACCAGATGATCTGAAACAACATCAGCAATGATAGTAGTAAAACTAACACAGAGAGGGTTGGATTCAAAAAGGAATGGATTTGAGGGTTAAAAAGTATGTAACGAAACCCAGAAGGCATAATGAAGTAACGAATGAGTGCGACCGAGTTGAGGTTAACTTAACAACGGTCGCTAACTATTGATCACAATCTGGTTAAACTAGAGGGTTAAGCTACGGTAAGTATCATAGCAGTATGTTTAGTCTAGGATTAACATTTTTTATGCAATTTGATCTCGTGTGATAGACAACTCGAACCAAAAATAACCAAACCAAACGAGTACAAAACTGACTGTCACTGTGTAATGAGGTACAATAACGCGGAATTAATGACGCATGCTGTGGATGCAACCTTCAAACAAAATACTAAAAACTGGATGACAGATATCATACACGACAGATGCGATTGGCAAGTTGATGGTGACTTATTCATTGTTTATTTATTTATATGAACAAAAATATTGGTACAAAGGGGACAAAGGTAATATATTCTGGGACTTTACTGACCGGAATCAGGCATTTGAAATAAACAAGCCTATTTGGCAGGGAGCCAAGTAGCATTTTGTCACTCCTAAAACTAATAACTGCCAGTTTGTGTACTAGACACTAGTCAGTCAGTAACTTGTGTCTAGTACACAAATAATGACCAGAAATTTACACGCGGTTGGAAAAGTGTAGTGGGCTACCAAACATCTGCAAGTCGCTAAGATGAGCACAATAGTTCTGAGTTAGCGACATTTTAGTTGAATAAAAGGTCACGAAAAATGAATTACGAGACTTTCCAAACCACACTACGTACCTGTATACAAGGGTTGCGTAAAGCCAGGTACGGCTGCCAGTCTTCTTCATCAATGTGCTCTGCTACATAAATCCCCAGAGCTCCATACCGGTCATACAATTTCCTCTTCTGTTCGTTAGCTAGTATAGAATGTGCTCTATTGACTTCTTTGAACTACAATTTTGTGTTTTCAAGAAATATACACTATACTTTTTCAGAAGCCTCAGGATCTATTGGGTTTTTATCCGGGTGATATTTTAATGCGAGCTGAGAGAATATTAAAATAAGATGAACGTACTTTACGATAGGATTTTTTGATTTCCTCAGCTGTTGCTTTCTTATCTACTTCTAGAATAGCATATAAGTTGATATTTTCTTTCCTATAATATCAACATCAGTTTTGATTCCAACATACGTAGATTTCTTGCTGCTTTTACTATTAGAACCACTGCCCATTGAAGGATCAGTAGGCATTGCCAGGTTGGTGCTGTTCACATGCTCAAGGCCACATCTTGAGATGCCGCTCAAAAGGTCAAATGGTTCAAATTGTTCGAATGATTCAAATGGTTCGAATAGTTGAGGACGAAATAGAAGAAGCTTCCGCTTAACAGGCTTCCGTGTCTAGTAGCAGGGGATCACCAATACCCCCAGGCAGGAACCAAGGTATATCGACGATAATAGAAGAAAAAATGGAAATCGGTAAATCACAGTAAGATATTATCCTTAGTCCTTAAGAATATGTCATGTTGCCTCTTAAAGGACTCCTGGAAAGTCTCTTGGACTAGTCTAGACGGCAGCGAACCCCAGCATTTGGCAACTCTTAAGGAGTAGAAGTTGTGTCTACAGTCCGTTCTGCCAAGTTGTATCTCCAGTTTCTGGGTGTTACCCCTTAGATTAGTGTTGGAACTAAGCTTATGTAGGTGTTTAAGAGGGTGTCCAGAAGTGTTAAGGATACTGCAATCCATTAGAAGGTCACTTCTAAGACGCCTATACTCTAATGGGTAAAAGATAAGTGGTTGGAGGCGCTCTTCATGAGGTTTAAATTTGAGTCCTCGAATTGATTTCGTGGCTCGCCGTTGCATACGCTCCAGAGTGTCCTTATCCTTTTGGAGTGAGGGAGGAAATACTGTGTTTCCGTACTCTGAATGGGGACGGATAAAACTATTGAAGATTATATGGAAAGTTCTTCCGTCAAACTGGCCAAAAATGCGCTTCAATGTTATCAGCGCAAGGTTTGCTCGGAAGGCATTTTTGTCACAGTTAGAGTAAGACTACAAATCGTGGGTATCAGCACTCCTCAATCTTTTCAACCTGGAATACTTCTAGATAGGAGTTTCTTAAGTTGTAACTGTAGTCTGCAACATGTCGCAGATGGACTACGTTACACTTTGAAGTGTTGTCGCCTACCCAACTATGAAGTCGAGTCAGATCCTCCTGATGTGGCGGCATATCCTCTTGATTGCGTATCTCTCTCCAAAGTTTCACGCCATTGGCAAAAAGTAATACGTCCGAAGTTACCTGTTGAGGAAGATCATTTATGTAGATCAAGAAGAGAAGAGGCCCTAGTACTGAGCCCTGGGGGACCGCACTAGGACATTCCGTAGCCTGAGATAAAGTGGAATTAACCCTGACCTTAAAATGTCGATTTTTCAGGTATGAAGTGAGCCAATCGATGAGAGTGGTCTGATACCCAATCATTTGAGATTGTTGATAAGACATGTATGGTAAATTATGTCAACCTTCCCCTTGCGATCAAGGATGCTTGTCCATCTATCCCCACAGTCAGCCGGTTGGTTATAGAAGAACGACTTCTCCTGAAACCATGCTGTTGGGGTGAAAAGAAGTGTAAGGAATAAATGGTCGTGTATGCCGTCACATCAGGGACTTCATAATTTTTTAAGGTATTGAGAGAAGGGCCCACCGGACGGTAGCTTGAAGGTTCGC